AACTTCCAGAGTGAAACTTCTTTGAATTGAAAAACTCCAGAGTGAAAGAGTGAAACTTGAATTGAAACTCCAGAGTGAAACTTCTTGAATTGAAACTTCCAGAGTGAAACTTCCAGAGTGAAACTTCTTGAATTGAAACTTCCAGAGTGAAACTTCTTGAATTGAAACTTCCAGAGTGAAACTTCCAGAGTAAAACTTCTTGAATTGAAACTTCCAGAGTGAAACTTCCAGAGTGAAACTTCCAATTGAGAGTGAAAACATAAAAAACTTCCAGAGGAAACTTCCAGAATTGAAAAACTTCCAGAGGGAAACTTCCAGAGGAAACTTCTTGAATTGAAACTCAGAGTGAAACTTCAGAGTGAAACTTGAATTGAAACTTCTAGAATTGAAACTTCCAGAGTGAAACTTCTTGAATTGAAACTCCAGAGTGAAACTTCCAGAGTGAAACTTGAATTGAAACTCCAGAGTGAAACTTTGAATTGAAACTTCCAAAGTGAAACTTCCAGAAAAACTTTGAATTGAAACTTCCAGAGGAAACTTCCAGAGTGAAACTTTGAATTGAAACTTCCAGAGGAAACTTCCAGAGTGAAACTTGAATTGAAACTTCCAGAGTGAAACTTCTTGAATTGAAACTTAGAGTGAAAAAACTTTCCAGAATTGAAACTTCCAGAGTGAAACTTCCAGAGTGAATTGAAACTTCCAGAAACAAAGTGAAACTTCCAGAGTTGTGAAACTTCCAGAGTGAAACTTCTTGAATTGAAACTTGAAACTTCCAGAGGAAACTTCCAGAAACTTGAATTGAAACCAGAAAACTTGAATTGAAAACTTCCAGAGTGAAACTTCCAGAAAGAGGGAAACTGAAAACTTCTTGAATTGAAACTTCCAGAGGAAACTTCCAGAGTGAAACTTGAATTGAAACTTCTTCCAGAGTGAAAAACTCCAGAGAAACCTGAAAAACTTCTGAATTGAAAACTTCCAGAGTGAAACTTCCAGAGTAAAACTTGAATTGAAACTTCCAGAGGAAACTCTTTTCTTGAATTGAAACTTCCAGAAACCTCCAGAGTAAAACTTCGAATTGAAACTTCCAGAGGAAACTTCTTGAATTGAAACTTCCAGAGGAAACCCAGAAAAACTTTGAATTGAAACTTCCAGAGTGAAACTTCCAGAGTGAAACTTGAATTGAAACTTCAGAGTGAAACTCCAGAGTAAAACTTGAATTGAAACTCCAGAGTGAAACTTCCAGAGTGAAAAACTTTGAATTGAATTGAAAACTTCCAGAGGAAAAACTCCAGAGTGAAACTTCTGAATTGAAAAACTTCCAGAGTAAAACTGAAACTTCCAGAGTGAAACTTGAATTGAAACTTCCAGAGTAAAACTTTTGAATTGAAACTTCCAGAGGGAAACTTCCAGAAACTTGAATTGAAACTTCCAGAGTGAAACTTCTTTTGAATTGAAACTTCCAAAGTGAAACTTTTGAAACTTGAAAAAAACTTCCAGAGTGAAACTTCCAGAGTGAAACTTCTTGAATTGAAACTGAAAACTTGAGAGAAAACTTCCAGAGGAAAACTTCTTGAATTGAAACTTCCAGAGGGAAAACTTCCAGAGTGAAACTTCTTGAATTGAAACTTCCAGAGTGAAACTTCCAGAGTGAAACTTCTTGAATTGAAACTTCCAGAGTGAAACTTCTTGAATTGAAACTTCCAGAGTGAAACTTCTTGAATTGAAACTTCCAGAGTGAAACTTCCAGAGTGAAACTTCCAAAGTGAAACTTCTTGAATTGAAACTTCCAGAGTGAAACTTCCAGAGTAAAACTTCTTGAATTGAAACTTCCAGAGGGAAACTTCCAGAGTGAAACTTCTTGAATTGAAACTTCCAGAGTGAAACTTCCAGAGTGAAACTTCTTGAATTGAAACTTCCAGAGTGAAACTTCCAGAGTAAAACTTCTTGAATTGAAACTTCCAGAGTGAAACTTCCAGAGTAAAACTTCTTGAATTGAAACTTCCAGAGTGAAACTTCTTGAATTGAAACTTCCAGAGTGAAACTTCCAGAGTGAAACTTCTTGAATTGAAACTTCCAGAGTGAAACTTCCAGAGTGAAACTTCTTGAATTGAAACTTCCAGAGGGAAACTTCCAGAGTGAAATTTCCTGAGTGAAACTTCCTGGATATTTGGATCCCATAGGAAACAAGATTGATTCAATTCTTTGAAGTTACTACGACGTATCATTGCTATAAGAGTTCGAATTAGTGTTACTAATTAATGGAGCATTCGCCATGAAAATATCGATAGTCCAACTGTGGGACAGATGCCGTAAATCTTAGAATACAGCTTTCCTCAAATGACAACCTAAACGATTTTGAAATTCTATTTCTCTTCTTTTCTTTTTAAATTAGTTCTCCCTAGACAAGGCAATAATACCACTAAAACGCAAGGAGTTGCTAAGAGTGACAGAAAAGGAGAAAACGTTAATGAGAAAATAAAGACAATAAATCAACGCTATTCAGGAAGACAGAAAATCATGATTGGTGCTGAATTTAAATTTAATTAAGATCGTAGATGAGAAGGAAGCAAGTAGCCGGATGTTGGTCCCACACACTAGAAGTACGAGAAAAGAAATAATTAGAATAGAACTTATTGTTGCTTCTAGCTATTTCAACAGTAAAAATATGAGACCTAATTGCCAATCTAGTAGTGCGTTTAATTTTAAACAGTCGCTGTACCAAGGAGGAAAGCACATTAAAATTTTAAAAATGAAAAAAAATTAAATACCATGGGATTTTTCTACTGTATTTATGTCCCAAAAGCGGCTACATGCACATACTTTGCCACGTTAAGAGCCATATCTCTTGTATTAATTTCTGGCTATCTATAATTCATTTGACACTGATTTTCAATTCAATCAGTACGTAATGCCGTTCTAGATATGGTAATTGTTATGGTCCAAGTACCTTGTACCACGGTGTTGGTCCAAGGTTAGAACCAATGAAAGAATAACACGAACACAGGTATGGAATACAAATATATATTACAACAGAAATATAATACAAAAAAGTAGAAGTATTAGTAATGACTATCAGATTTGGTTAGAGTGAACTATGTTGTCTCGACAGGTATCACTATTCCAATGTGCTTACAATATGCTTTTACTTATCTCTCCTCGTCTTACAATCTCTGCGCATACCTCTTGAGAGGCGCAGTATTTATAATGTCTAGAATAGTCCATTATTATTATGGGTAAGTTCCCATAACAGTAATGTTAATGGTAATACTAACCGTTTCTCTACAAGGAAACATTTGACATTAACTAACCGAGTAACTAATACCGCTTTCGGCTGAAATTTATAAAATCTTTCTCTTAAAACAATTTCAGTGTTTGCAATCGCCATTGATCCAATATTGATGGGGGCTTCTTTCTCTAGCTTTTATTTAAAGTGTTGAATGTTAACATATTACTTATATCATTTTCTCTTTGAAATATATATGTAATCCATTTTACTTATTGCTGCTATTGGTAGTCCTCAAATGATGTAGTTCTTGTGTTTTTATACAGTTCTTTGTTAATCTATAATGCCAGTCAACAATGTTCAAAGAGGGGTAATCTTTACCAAGGCCCTCATGTCTCAAAGCCTTTTTTTCACCATTAACCTTGGGAAGCGTTTGTATACAGCTGACAGTTTAGATATTTCTGAACGGGTTGGGCGCCATGCTTGACGTCCATATAAAAGTTTTGCGCTGACGAGGCTATTTAAGAACATGACTCGAGTTTTCCGGTTGATCTTTTGGTTTTGTAGCGATTTTAGAGTAGAGCAAAACTAACTCTAGCGTAGCCTATTCTATGTCCGATCACCTTTTCTCAAATACTTAATTTGTTACTACTTATCCATAAGCCGACATATTTGAAGTGTTTACATTTTAGTAGCCGTGTTCTTAAATAAATTTTCATAATCAGGCTCCTTACTGACCTTTACAAAAGTATTCACCGCACATGTCGTTAATTAGATTACTGTTGTGGAGTAGTTTTCACAGTGGAGGCTTGTATTTCAAGAAGTCATCCTAAATTAGGTTCGACGTACAAAACGTTAGGAACTTGAAAATAAGAGTTGACGCAGCAATCTAGTTGTGATGGTTGGTACTTCAATGTGTCCGATATCGTCTGACGCGCTCAATACCACTCTGACTCAAACTGGCGACTGCTACTACTTATTATCTATGGGAGAGTCCATTACAATAGAATAGGTAATATGGCATCACAATTACACTGATATTTGAATTTTTGTGTATGCGTGTATATTATAGATTTACTAACATCACACTGAATAAGATAGAGAAAAATACTATGAAATGATGTGAAAATCATCAATCTCCTAATGAACTCCAGAAATAACTGATAATCATGCTGAAAGTTGTAATTTAGTAGATAATAGAATAACGGGTTTAGTAGGTAAAAGAGTAACCTAACACTATCGTTAGTAAAGGTGTCTCAGACCATAGATAGAGAGTTTAAATTTCAATAAGTAACCCTTTATTGTAATGAAAGACCAGAGTGAGATAAGCTTAAACAATTTCATATCCAAATCTGATTTTTGTCGTCTATGTTTTTTTTGTTTTTTTTGCAGTAAAGGAATACTAAAAGTTGCAAAACAAATAATGGTAGGAAAGAATAAATAAATGAAAAAGGATAAAATAGAAAAACTTATCAAAGTGTTAAATAAAAGCGAATATGAAGAAAACAAAGTAAAGAAGGGACAATAAAAAACACAGAAAACAAAGAAAGAAAGAAAGAAAGAAAGAAAGAAAGAAAGAAAGAAAAAATAAAAAAAAACAAAGAAACAAAGAAACAAACAAAAATTTTAAAAAATAAAAATATGAAGAAATATCACAAGGAATAAATAAATAAAAAATAAAAATTAAAGTAAAAAAAAATCGGTAGATTAATTAAAGAAATAAAAGATAGAAATATAAAAGAAAGAAAAAAAAAGAAAGACAGAAAAATAAAGAAAGTCAGATGAGATAAATAAAAGAAAATAAATATAAAATAAAGGAAAGAAAGAAAAAAGCAAACAAAGAAAAAAGAACGGAAGAAAGAATTGCAGTTAAAATATGCAAAGGAAAGACAAATAAAAGAAAACAAAAAAAGAAAGAAAGAAAGAAAGAAAAGTAGATAAAATAAACAAATAAAAGAAATACACATACAGGAGCGAAAAAAGATAACGATAGATAAAATATATACCAAAGAAAATGAAAGAAAAATGGCGTAAAAGAAAGGAGAAAGAAAGAAATTAAATGAGTGCAACACAAAAGAAAAAAAAGAAAGCAAAGAAGGAGGAAATAAATGCGAAAATAAAAATAAAGAAGAAACGAAAGATAAAAATAAGAACTAGAAAGAATGAAAGAAGATAAAATAAAATAAATGAAACAAAAGAGGAAATGAAGAAAAGTGAATGAAAGAAAAGAAAAGTAATGAAGACGAGAAATAAAGAAAAAAAGAATGAAGCAAAAAAAAAAAAAAGAAAAAGAAAATACGAAAGGAATAAGAAAAGATGAAGTAAGAACGGATAAAATAAAGAGAAAAGATAATGATAAAAGAGAAGAAAGAACAGAAAAAAAGAAAATGATATAGAAATACAGACACAACTAGAAAGTAACGGATAAAAAGAAAATGGTGGTATTACTTACGAGCAGAACAGATAAACAACTACGGAATTCTAAGGAACATGGAAACAGAACAGACACATATACTTAAAATCAGAAAGAGAAAGTATAGATTTCTGGGACACATAATGAGGAAAGAGGGTTTGAAGAATTTGATACTCACAGGACATATTGAAGAACAGAAAGACAGAGAGAAACATTATACTACCAAAAAAATTTGTGTAAATGAATAATAGAACTGCTAGTAGGAGGAATAGGGAAAAGCCAAACCTTATTAAGAGTTACAAAGGATAAGAATTTATGCAGATACATTATTACTCACGTCCTGAAGAGATTCGGAGTATAGGAGGAGAAACTAATCGAATTTTATTTTCAAATATTTTCCATATTTTATATCTACCTCGTTTGTATTAAGTTTTAAGAAACAGGAATGTTTCATCAGCATCAAAGAAATGTCTTCTGGAGTATAATACTATATAATTATCCGCTATGGCAGCGAATGCACATTGGGATAGCGAAAGATACAAAAAACTAAGCTAACTACTTGGTTGTGCATAATTATCAGGCGTTTTTGTAGGTTATTTGTTAATAAAAAGTGCCGTTTTGTTTACTTTGTTTTTACTGAAAATATTATTTTATTTTCAAGTTATAAACATGCGTGTCGATAATCATACGTTGCGTAATAATCATTTATTAGGTTGGTGCAAAAATAATGACGTAATAATGTCGTTTTTTGACGTATTTTTTAACGTCAAAAAACGACATTCTTACGTCATTATTTTTGCACCATCCTAATAAAACTGTTGAATTGCTATGTTCCTTTTTCATAATGAATGTTGTTTAAAAACGCCTGATAATTATGCCCCAACCCAATATTAAGAAAGAAAATTTTCGTTAGAAACAAAGACAACGGTACTGAACTTATAAAATATCAGTCCTTCTATATGGTAGCAAATGCTGGACAATTTCCACGCCGATTAAGAAGTGACTGGAAGCAAACGAAATATGGTTCTACAGAAGGATGCTGAGATTAACAAAGAGTATGTCAGCAATAAGGATGTTTTATGGAAAATTGAAAACAAATGGACGATTAAATATCAGAGAGGAGAAAGATAAGATTTTTGGAACTCATAACAAGGAAAGAGGGCTCGGAGAATTTGTTCCTCACAGAACATATTGAAAGTAAGAGAATATGAAGTAAACAGCGAGTAACAAGCTAAATAAGTATAAATGGAACGCCGAACAATGAGTAGAAAGCATAGTAAAGATTGCTAAGAGCTACAATGGATAAGAATTTATGGAGAGTCATGATTACCCCCACCTTAAAAGGAAATGGCACATAAAAGAAGATTTTTTATGAGCTAAATTTGGCCAGCCACAAATATGTGAAAGTGAACGAAGCAATGTTATCACTTTTCATAATATTCTTGAAAAATTTTATAAATATGTAATAAATGACTAAAATTACCTCATTTCATTGAGACCATTTCGCTAACATCTATTTACGCCATATACAAATATCGTAAAATATTTCGAAATTAAAAGCAAGTTGGGTGAGCAATCTCGAGTATCATTGCTTGTTTAAATATAAACATCTTCTGTTTCTCTTCCCCAAAACACTAATTCCTCTATGAGCCTCCACATCATCCTCCTCCTTGTAGTCCTTAGTAAACTTTTTGCTCTATCTCCTAATCCATGTTTTGACAACCCTTTACGCAAGCATCTTTAGACAGCTTTTACGCTGCTTTCCTCAAACCCTCTTGTTTTTAACATGTCCAGTGAGTGTCAAATGTCCTAAGCCCTCTTTCCTCAAAATGTGCTCTAGAAATTTCAACTGCTGCTTTCTGAATCTACGTATAAGCGTCCTTTTTGTTTTCATTTTCCCTAAACTATGGTCGTTACTCACATGTCCAGTCCATGCTATTCTTAGTATCGTTCTGTAGAACTACATTTTTGCTGCTTCAAGTCTTTTCTTCTTCTGCGAGGAGATGGTCCAACATTCACTGCCATATACTAGTCTTTTTTATGCTAATATAATGCTCCTCCCGCATCTGTCTATATTTCTGAGATGCGGTATTATGTACACTCTTTACATTCTTCGAACTATTGTCCTTATCTTTGTTGCCATCACAACGTTTCTGCCGTTGTACGCTTCGGCCTTCTTCAGGTGGTTGGAATGTCAAACTGAACACTTTATTTCGCTCGCTGGGGTAGACTGTTCTAGTTCCACGTGCCATGTTTAATGGATGTCAGTTATCAGTTTTCTCCTGTTAATTCCCCTCTCCAAGTTCTCCACCGTCTTACCTAGGTATTGAAATCACACTCTTTGGGTTCTGGATCTAACTAACGCCTTTATCCACTGTGACATGTGCCCTTGAAATGTTTTTGTTTATTAATACCTTGCTTAGCTTTTGGAAGGCACCTTTCGTTATTCCAATGTGCCTTCGGATTTGGTTTTCACATTTTCCGTCCTCTGTTAAAAAATTCTGAGATGCTATTTTTTTTTTGCATTTTTGTCCCATTTGTAATTTGCATGGTAGGCGGTTTCTTTCGCTAACAAACCATGCATTCTGTTTTCTTACAGTTGATGCATACTCCTTTCTTCACGTTTTCCATTCTGAAAGTGTTTCATGACTTTTCAAGTAATAACTCCATTTGCTTTCGTGTATATGTGCCTCGTAAGTCATGAGTGAAGCGACTATGCCACACATCGGAAGGACGGGTGGAAACTTAGTCTGTGCAACTCTGTGTATGATCGAAATTATACTATATTTAAGATATTTGAAGAAAATTTACTCGATTTTGTTTTCGAGAAAATTAAGCTTCCTTTGAATTTGCCCTTGCATGGAGTTGTGCTGACATATATGGTTTGGAGCCCTACTGTTTGCCTCGGGGTTCTTGATAAGATCCAGAAACGGATATGCAATATAACTGGCCCTGATCTGGCATCTCGTCTGTAGTCGCTCTCTTAAAGACGTGCCGTCGCCTCTCTCTGTCTTTTTTTTTACAAATACTTTCATGGTAATTGCTCCGATGAGCTGCATTCGGTGGTTGCCACACTTCATGAATTCAAGCGCCCTACGAGGCTGGCATCCCGCTCTCACCCTTTCACTGCCGAAACTGTTGAATGTAGCCGTCTCTTTTACTCCAATAGCTTCATATCTCGCACCTCTCGCCTGTGGAACTCCCTTCCCTATTCCTGTTTCCCTGAGAGCTATAATCTCCAACTATTCAAATGTAATGTCAATCGACATCTCCAGTTGCCTTGATCTATCCACTATCCTTCTCCTCATCCTTTCCTCTATCACTCCTATCTGATCTTGCTCCAAATCTTCTGCAACCCCTTGCGTGCTATTGGCTTCCTGCCTTGCTAGGGGTGAAATTGTTTAAAAAGAAATACGAAAGAAAGAAAGAATAATCTCTAGTCAATGATTGCGCATTTTTTAGCTAATTTGCACGAGATCTCCGTAAATTTATTTTGAATGTATTTTTGCATAAATTTGTATAAACGCGATGAAATTAAATTAAATAGAAAATCTAATTAGTGTTTGAGTGATTTCAATTAGCTTCTGTATTTGTCATTGCTGAAAAATCTTACTCTTGTAGTGAGTTCGGGTTTTCTGCATGATGACAGCGATTTTGGCTGAACCATAATACACGTTTATTGATTGGTAGTCTCGATGTAGAGTAGTCATTAGCAAAGTTCGCTACGCAGCCAAGATATCGTATATTGGAGGCGCACGAGAGCCCTCAGTGTTCTGTCAAGAAAACAAACGAAACAAACTGTGGTATCTACTTGAAAAATGGGAGACAGGAAGGGAATGGGGACGGTTGAGGTGGGAAAGGGTTTGGGGAAGAAGAGAAAGTAGGGAAGGAAATAAGGAAAAAGTTTTTAAAAAAGATGAAGGAAAGAAATTAAATAAGTCAAGGAACGAAAGTTGAGGAAGGGAAGAAATGAAAGAAGAATCGAAAGAAAGAAAAATGGAAGGAGAAAAAAAAGAAATAAGTGATGGAATGATGAAAAAAGCTGAAGGAAAGAAAAAAAAATGTACGAAAGAAAAAAGATAAAAAATAAATAAATGAAAAAGTAAAATAAGTAAAAGAAGACAATGAAGGATGAGGAAAATGAAATATGAAGAAAATAAATGAGTGAATGACGAAATGAAAAATGTGAAGAAACTAGTGAAGAAAGGAAATAATAAAGGAACAAATTAGCGAAAGAAGAAAGAAAAAGTAGAAGCGAGTGAATGGCTGAAAGAAAGAAAAAAATATGAAGGAATAAAGAAAGAAAGAAAAGAAATATGAAGGAATAAAGAAAGAAAGAAAAGAAATATGAAGGAATAAAGAAAGAAAGAAAGAAAGAAAAGAAATATGAAGGAATAAAGAAAGAAAGAAAGAAAGAAAAGAAATATGAAGGAATAAAGAAAGAAAGAAAGAAAGAAAGAAAGAAAGAAAGAAAGAAAAGAAATATGAAGGAATAAAGAAAGAAAGAAAGAAAGAAAGAAAGAAAATAAAAAGGAAAAAGAAATATGAAGGAAAAAGAAAAAAAGAAAAGAAATATGAAGGAATAAAAGAAAGAAAGAAAGAAAAGAAATATGAAGGAATAAAAAAAGAAAGAAAAGAAATATGAAGGAATAAAGAAAGAAAGAAAGAAAGAAAGAAAAGAAATATGAAGGAATAAAAAAAGAAAGAAAAGAAATATGAAGGAATAAAGAAAGTAAGAAAGAAAGAAAGAAAGAAAGAAAGAAAGAAAGAAAAGAAATATGAAGGAATAAAGAAAGAAAGAAAGAAAGAAAGAAAGAAAGAAATGGTTAAAAGTAATAAGGAAATGAAGGAATGATAGAATGAAACAAATCAATAAATGAAAGACCAAATTAAGGAAGAAAAGAAATAAATGAAGAAATAAAGAAAAAAATGAAGGAAAGAAAAATGGGAGAAGTACTGAAATGAAGAAAATAAAAAGGAAAGAGGAAATAAAAATATGAAAGAAGAGAAAGAAGTGAAAGAACAATAAGGGGTAGACGCTAAAAAGGAAATAAAAGAAATGAAAACACGCGAAAGAATTGAAAAAGAGGAAAAAAGTTAAATGAAGAAAAGCAAAAGTGAAGGAGGAAAAGAATAAATGAGAAAAACAAAAGAAGAAAGGGATGGAAGAAAAGACTGTAAGCGAAGGAAAGAAATGACGGTAGTAAGAAAAGAAAGAAAATTGAAAAAGAAATGAAGCAAAAAAGGAGAAGGAATATATGAAGTAAAGAAAAATGCGAATGAAGGTAATGAATAAATGACAGACCAAAGGGAAGAATGAAAGAAAGGAAAGTGAAAAAAAAAGGAAAGAAGGTAAAAAGGAAAATAAGTGAATAGAGAATGAAATTAAGACAAGGAAATAAAAAATCGAAAGGAAGGAAGGAAGGAAAAAAGGAAGGAAGAAAAGAGGGAGTGACAGATGTAAATTCACCTCGGAACTAATTTCAACTCGGAACCAATGTCACGTCGGAATTAATTTCAACTTGGAACTAATTTCAACTCGGCACAAATTTCAGCTCTGAATTAATTTCAACTCAGAACTATTAGGTTGGTGCAAAAATAATGACGTAATAATGTCGTTTTTGACGTATTTTTAAGGTAAAAAAACGACATTATTACGTCATTATTTTTGCATTCAATTTGAATACTTCAACTCGGAACTAATTTCAACTCGATTTAAAAATCCTAACCCTCAACCCTAACTCTTAGTTCTGAGTTGAAATTAGTTCCGAGTTGAAATCAATTCCGAGTTGAAATTAATTCTGTACCCCGAAGAAAGGAAGAAAAAAAAAAGCAAAACAAATGACGTGAAGAAGGAAAACGCATAAGTGAAAGACGGAACTGAAGGAATGAAAGGAAGCAAAATGAAGAAAATAAATAAACAAAATAAAAAAAAAAAAGAACAAAATAAAGAAAGAAAAAGAACAGAAAAGAGACAGAAGAATGAAATGAAAAAAAAGAAGGAGGGGTGAAAAAAAATTAAAGGAAGGAGAATAAAGATAAGAGAAAGTCACTTTCAGATTCGAATATTCAATTTGAATGGAATTTACGATAAAAGCAATTTTCTTTCCAATCAATTTTCAACTCAGAACTCCCAGGAAATCAATATATATATATATATATATATATATATATATATATATATATATATATATATATATATATATATATATGTTTGTTTATTTTGATTTCTACAGACAATGACGTCACAAAAGTGTAAAAAGTGATGAATTAATCATGGTGTATAACCTTTTTGGCGCGAATACCAAAAGTTGATCTCAGAAGGAGTAAATAACTATCATTATTTCACTGCGATGTTGAGCGCGCAGAACCCCTTGCCGCCTCACCAGAGTTCTCATAATTTCCGCGTTAATTCACTTAGCAAGTAATTATGGTATATTTCAAAGATTAACTCTTAGAGAGACAAAGATATTGTGTCGAGTAAAAGAAAGAACCACCTTGAGATTTAAAAAAAAGGTATTTTTTTTTTACTAAGTTGTGAATGTTCAACAATGTATTATCAGCAGTAATATCTGTGATTATATGAAGGACCGTAGGAAAAGACGGCTTGAAAAATCTAATGCCCACAGGACAAATTGAAGGCAAGGTAGACAGATGGGAAACAATGCATAATTTTACTTCACTCAGTTGAGTGCCACAGGTGATACACGCTTGGGCGATCATGTCTCTTTCGATATATGACTGACGAGGCAGATTTTTTTTTACCACATAGGTTGCCATTTCTTTCTGGAATAGACTGATTGCCAAACAAGGATAAAGAACAGTCTGTTCTACTATTTAACCTATAAATGGGGAAGAAGAGATGGATTTATGCGTTTCCCAAGCGTAAGTGAATATAATGAACTCTAGTGAGATTCGAACTCGACTCTCCGAGTTCTTTTTCCGAGCCGATATCCATTACAACACAACGCACATTCCAGTTTAATCTACTTAATGAGCTTGAATAAATGTATGGTGGAACACGGTTTAGGAGAGATAACAAAAAGACAAAATCTATTAAATACTACGAAGGACAGAAAATCGTGGAGGGCCATGATCGCCTACGTCCTGAAGGGACACGGTACATAATGAAGTGCAAGTTGAAGCTTTCAAACACATAACAATCGTCACTTCCATAGCAGATGTTCGTGCGAACTACTCTCCTTGATTCCACCAGTTGAGACCTTCACAGGTAGGACCCACTCTGCCACGCAGAGTCAACTCATCCTCACTAACTTTATATTCCATTAGTAAGGAGGAAGTTCCACTCAGCTTCTTCCCTAGAACCATTGCGCAGTGGATCGAAGCCCTGAGTGGACGCTTCCTCGATCACTAACCTGTTCAAGTCGATAATCAACCGTTGTCTCTCGACATGGTATGCACCCCTTGGGCACTTCCTGTACACCCTTATAACATCTTTCATTTATGCTCTAATTTGAGTGGCCATTGAGACTTCCATTGATGAAAGAAGACACTGATCGTGGTGACGTTGAAGACGGATAAGGCTAACGTTATATGCTTAACATGAGTAACCTTCATTAGTAAATGGAAGAACGGGGGTCTGTGTGGGTTATTCAGGGGACAAAAAATGCTTAGAGATTCGAAGGATAGGGTGTTAAGAAATGCCATGGTCATCCACATCCGTAATTCCCTTCAGATGATAATGTTTACCTACATGTAACAAAATCTCGCCTTTCGTAATCTCCGGTTTTACGCACGATCTAAGAGATTTGTATAAGCTAACATCTCTTTCTTTCTTTAACTCTGATCTCAATGTCTATTAGGATATCAGCCATTTTGGATTCCTTTTGCTTGGTGCTCTAAATAATACTTGAGTATCTTTGTTTTTTAGCAAACATCTTCACGGCTTACGTCAAAGAGTTAGAAAAGCAACAAAAATGGAAGGTAAAACATTTTAATTGCATAACGACCGAAAATAGCTTCACAGAAATATGGTTTTACTTGTTTTATAAGCTTATTTTTTGCATTAAATATTTACCCAATAGAAGTCCAACAGCTACTCAAGATTTATGGTAACCGAATTATGTTGTTGCATAGATGTAAGATTATAATGACATATAGAAAAGATAACGGTTGACATTAGACTTGAAGTGGTTAAGATTATAATGATCGAGGAAGCACCCTCTTGGGAGTATTTTACCTTAAACTAGCAGTTCTTGGGAAAAATGTCTCAGACTTGAACTTCCGTCTTACCAATGGAATACGATGGGTGAAGAACCAGTGACCTGAACTGAAGTTATTTTTAATTGAAAGATTATAGTCTATTTTCATCAAACCTGTCATCCTAGTAGGCATATTTGATTCCGGAGTCATGTGCCATTCATACCATTACCAGACAGTGAATTCTGATGGCTTTGCATATTTTTACTTCAGCATCAATTTCTTGTTCTCACTCTGAATATATATATATATATATATATATATATATATATATATATATACAGGTGTCCATAAAGTTCGTGTACACTTTAAATTTATAACTTGTTTAAAGTGCACATGAACTTTATGAACGCCCTATACATATATATATTTTAAATACAACAACAAACACTATTTACAGATTAGTGGCACAGCAATGGGCACAAAATGGCACCTAGTTATGCTAATATCTTTATGCACATTCTAGAAAAGAAGATACTAGACAATTCGGAATATAAACCATCACATTACTTTAGATATATTGATGACATTTTCTTATTATGGACTCATGGATCAGAAAAATTAAAAAAACTTTTTTTCACTTTCTGCAACAATTTCCACGATACAATTAAATTTACCATGGAGCACTCATACACATCCATCCCTTTCTTAGACGTTATGATAAAATTAAACAAACATACACTTTCTACCAGTCTATACAACAAACCCACAAACCAACATAAATTCCTGCACTTTAACAGCTGTCATCCCTTTAAATTAAAAAAAAATCTATTGTATACAGCTCATTTCTTAGAACCAAACGCATATGCTCAGACCATTTAGATTTTCTATACAATATTAATAACTTAACAAAACAATTCCTAAAATGCAAATACCCAATAAAAATAATAAAAGAAGCACTAAATAAAACTATCCTGATAAATCGTAACACACTTCTCACATACAAGAAAAATAAAAAACAACAATCGGATTCCCATGGTTTTTAACCACAATCAATATTCCCACACACTTATTCACAATTTAAAAAAATGATTACAAGAACCTCCAATTAGACAACAAGATCAAAGACATTTTCGATAAACCACCCATAAATGCAATGAAACAATCACCTAACTTATCAGCTATCCTCACCTCTACCAAATATCTAAACAATAGAAACCAAACAGGAAATTACAAATGTAACAAACCTCGTTGCTTAGTTTGCAAACATTTAGTAATAGCTAATACATTTTACGTACCCAACACCAATATCAGGATACAGCCACCTAACCTCACCTGCGATACCCATAACGTAATCTATTATTTATTCTGCAACTTATGTCCTAATAGTGGATATATTGGTGAGTCTGGAAACAATTTTAGATTTCGTTTTAATAACCATAAACAAACAATACGTCAAAACAACCCTTATTCCCCATAGCTAAACACTACAATCAATCAGGACACACATTAGAAAACTGCAAATGTTTATTAATAGATTCCGATTTTACTTCCACATTCACACGCAGAAAAAAAGAAACATATTGATTTTAAAATTAAATACACATAAATTAGGGTTGAATAGGGACTTAGGTGTTTTAAATCTTTATAAATATTTCAATAGCTAAGCAATTTCTTTAGATATAGTAAAAAAATATTTTTTTAAATATTTATGACAGTTAGATTTAAGTTAGGAATATCTGAACAGTGACGTTCCATATCACGTGACGTCCGCGTCTCTCGAAGGACGCTACTTGCCAACAAACAGTAATTTTAATTTATTTGTAACAAACAGTTATTTCTGATGAAAAATTGAGGACAATTTGAAATATCAAATATATATATAAATAAATAAATACTTTCATAAAATAAAACATTATAATTTTTAATTTGAAACTTTTTATATATATATATATATATATATATATATATATATATATATATTGAACAATAAAAAAAATAATGAAAAAATAAAATCTTCAGACACTGAAAAAAACGTAGATTAATATTTTTTCGTTTTTTTTTTTGTTTTTTTTTTATTATTATTTCATTTAGATTCCTCGACTAGTTTCGGCCAAAATGGCTATCATCGAGAGGAGAAATATTTCTGCTTGCTGGTAGCAGTGAACTACAGAAATGAATGTCTTGATGGAGAAAATGAACTTTTGTCTGTAGTTTTCATTTGTTTTTTTATCTTTTTATCTTTTTAACATGAATCTTTTAACATTCCTTGTGTTGGTCAAACAGTCTCTTTTAAGTTGTTATTTGAGATAAGAGCTCGATAGATCTATGCTTCTCTGATTTCCCTTGGTCAGTTTGACAGTTTTATTAGTCCTGGAGAGGGGATGTGTCTCTGTTTAGTGTTTGTGTGTGTGTGTTATTTGGTTCTTAGAGAGTGAGTGAGTATAGTATGTGTAAGCATGTATATTGCTGTTGGTGTGTGTTATCATTTGACTCATTAGGGAGTGAGTGAGTATGATGTGTGTAAGTGTGTATATTCGTGTTGGCGTGTGTATAAGTGTGAGGCCTCAACACTTCCGTAAGCATGTCTGTCTTGTGAGGGTGAGAAATATGGGTAGGTTTTGATTTGTTGAGTTATATATTAGTACTATCTATATTGTTAAATTTATGGTTTAGCCCGGCTGGATATTGTGTTTTTAGACGTTGTATCCACTTATTTTCATGGGACTCTAAAATCTTTCTAATGCTAATCTGCTCTGAACTTTATATATATAAATATATGCAAATTTACACCTTTCTGATAATAGCTCAATTAGATTTCATTTAAATATTCATGAAGACCTACCGGACACTATTTGTAACATACTTGTTAATAACACTAATATAATAGCATTATCTACATGCAAAAAAGGCTAAAAATAATTGAAGCCTTATTAATGAAAAAAAAAAAACAACACATGTTACAGCAAAAGACATAATTACCTCAGCATGATCTGAAACCAGACGTCTTCAGGTTTTAAGTTGGGTTCAGATCAACCCGAAATACACTATATTCATGCTGAAGAAATTTTGTTTTTTGCCGTGAAAATATATATGGTCTTTTATGAAAATTTCTCCGATTTAATCGATAGAGAAGACAATATTTATGAATAAAAATGACAATAGGAAAACTGGTAATTGCTGACGCGTTTCGTCCAATGTGGACTTTATCAAAGCAAAATACGAAAATGAAATTAAATGAACAACGTAACTAATAAAAACAAAAACAGAATGTACCTAGCAACTGAAATGTAGAGAAACGCTATTTTCATATTTTTTAAATGAAAAATAACGTCAGAGATTGTCACGTGTGGAGAATATTGTCATTATATCTGTGTTGATGTATTCAACCATTTTCTTTCGATTTTATGAATCTGTTGTGCATATTTGTTTGTAAGAGCATTAATTTTGTTAAGAAAGGTGAAATAGGGAAAAAGCCTGGGCGTAAATTAATATTTGGATAATTTTCTATGGCGGCACTCTCCAGAATTTTCCTTCTGAGTGAGTTATTTTCTTTTTTTTATGAGTGTAGCATTTTAAAATCAAAATTATGGTTGTATTTATTTCTATGTATGACTATTGCATTAGCTAAGTTGTTTTTTGTGAGGTCTCTTTATTGCTCATAAATGCGTTTTTTCAAACTTCTACTTGTTTCTCCAATATATTGGGAGGAGCAGTTTTGGCAATTTATTTTATAAATGCCTGCTTCAGAAATATTAGTGCTATTATTGTTTGAAGATCTTAGTATATCTATAATGGTTTTGGAGGTGTTTGTGACTATTTCAAGATTATTTAGATGGGATAGGTTATTCTGGATCGTGGACGTGGCAGAATTGGTCGGTAGTATTATGTATCTGTTTTCATGTGATTTACTATTGCGGATTGTGTTATTAGTTTTGTTTCGTTTGTATATTTTGTATGCCTCGGATATATAGAATACAAGAAAATATGAAAAAAAAAAGCTTAATCGCAGTAACTTGTCAGTCGTATTTAAGGAAATTATAATAATAATAGTAGATACAACAGATATCGAAGAGAATAATAATAATAATAATAATAATAATAATAATAATAATAATAATAATAATAATAATAATAATAGCACATGAAGACATCAATAATTCCAGATAGAGGCATGAGATTGATTGTAAAAGTTTCTGATAGTCTCACCTAAGGGATTTCTAGTTGGCCATACCTTAAAGTAATACAAAAAAATGTACTCGCAAGTACAGTTCACACATTATGAAGAGATTTATCTATGTAAAATGGGTTTTAGGACTACATTTTGTTTTTGTTTTTTTATAATAATGATCCGTGGAAAAAGTCATGAAGCCATTTCTTACCTTAGATCTCTGGTTGGGGCCCGGAAGGAAATGTATATACATCAGAAATCCAAGGAAATAAAAAATGAAATAATAATAATAATAATAATAATAATAATAAATTGCCGTTCTGGGACGTGTTGAGTAATGAGAAAAATGACAAGAATGGACGAAGTATTTATTAGTACAAAAAAAAGTAGATTTTTCAATACTGAGCAGATTGTGCATTTTGGAAATTTAATCTCTTGTTTATCAATTAAGCGATGCTTTTTTTTATGGCGTTCAAGGTGATAGGCAGATGGGCTGGAAGAAAGAAAGACAAGCGGAAAAACGAAAATAACTATTAAAGTACCGCTTTCATTTATTTTCTATTATTTTTAATAGGATGTTCGTGACAAAGAGGATGTTACCCTAGAGCAGGTTAGACCTGAAATTCTGATATAATTATTGAAATTTACCCATTACTAATGACTTGGCATCCTTTTGTTCTTTTTCGGGTCTTAAGCAATACGTTTCGGCCGGCTATCTGTAGGCGTGGATTGCACTGGTTTTAACATTCCTTAAATGAGCGCTTACCGTAGAGCAATATTTAGCAAACACGTATGCCGGTGTATGCTTAACACTGAAAAGCTATTTATTTTTCAAAACAATTTATCTCTTTCCTTGTCAATGCACGTAATTCATCAGGGAACATTAATCACAAAGTTGGAAATATAAACGGTAAGAAATCCAGCTAATTGCATATCAGACTTTGAATTTATTGATAGATTACCGTCGTGTGTTTTGATGCAAGGGAGTGCCCTACAATTGGGAATTTGCGTCATGATTATTAAA